CGCAGTACAAGGTGTTCCGAGTAGCCCTATGGTTCCGTGGAAAAGTTACAGCGGTTACACGAGATAGTACTTTTATAGCCACCCAAGTAGAACATTCAACTTCTGCCCCCTAGAGTATAGGATCTAAAAGAGTGGTTCCCAAATGGTGTTCCATGGAACCCTAGAGTTCCGCCAAGAATTGCAAGGGTTTCGCTAATTGGTACTTTTTTAGCCACATTCGGCTGACCACTTAACTGGAATATTTTGCTTCTGCACCCTAGAGCCCAAGTTCTAAATTGATGGTCCCCATTTGGTGTTCCGGAAAGCTCAATGGTTCCGTGGAAAAGTTACAGCGGTTACACGAGATAGTACTTTTATAGCCAGCCAAGTAGAACATTCAACTTCTGACTCCTAGAGTATAGGATCTAAAAGAGTGGTTCCCAAATGGTGTTCCATGGAACCCTAGAGTTCCGTCAAGAATTGCAAGGGCTCCGCTAGTTGGCACTTTTTTTAGCCACATTCGGCTGATCACTTAACTGGAATATTCTGCTTCTGCACCCTTGAGCCTAAGATCTAAATTAATAGTCCCCAATTGGTGTTCCGTAAAGCCCTATGGTTCCGTGGAAAGGTTACAGCGGCTACACGAGATAGTACTTTTATCAGGTGTTCCGCCGAAAGAACGTTAATTATTTAGAGTTCCATGGCAGAAAAATATTGAGAGCCCCTGACCTAGATCAACTAATTCAAATACTAAAACAGTCTAAACTAATTTGTACGACCACCTTTTATAAAGACTTCCATTATAACGATCATTAAAAAAAGAATCAAAGAATCGATTCATATAACCGTTCATTTTAGTGAATTGATTCTAAAGAATCGATTCATTTAAATGAATCGATTGGCACATCACTAATCAACAATATTACTACAACTATCAACAATATTACTACTATTACACAAATATTACTATACCATACCTGCCAACTCTTCCGGATTTTCCGGAAGATTTTATTTTCATATTTATAGTGGTAGTAAATATATACTATTTTTTTCTTCTATAAATTTAATTTTTAAATGATTTTGATCACCACTATTCTTACAAAAATTAAGCACATAAATTAATATGCGTTACTATCATGGTTGTCAACTTAAGTTTTCTCAAATACAACGTATTTCTCTGCTTAAAATTGAAGTTTTAATACCACTGGGAAAAATTATAATGGAAAGGATTAAAAGTTGGCAGGTATGCTATACTAACAATTACTATTACACGATGCATTTTACATGATTATGAAAAGTAATATAAAGTCTTTTAAAAAAAATATTCATTCAATTGGCAATAGACAAATCTTGGAAATGGGCCTTTTAAAGATTCCTTTGTTCGTTTTAATACTACAAACACGAACTCTGCCATCCTTTCCAGGAAAGACCTCCACAATTCTACCAATTGGAAAATTACATATAGCTAAATTATCTTCCTTTATCAAAACCATATCTCCAATTTTAACGTTTTGCTTAACAATGTACTATTTCGACCTTTGTTGCAAAGTTGACAAATAATCTTTGTGCCACTTTTTCCATATTAATTGCACGAATTTAGTGGTTTTGTGCCATAAACTCAACCTATTATGAGATACATTGGTTGCATCCGGTTCAACAATTGATGTGAACGGTCTCCCGATCAGGAAATGGCCTGGAGTGAGAACGCTCAAATCATTAGCATCTGAAGATAACGGGGTAAGCGGTCTTGAGTTTAAAACGGACTCAATTTGAGTAGTTACAGTCAAAAAATCTTCATAAGTTAATTTCTTATCACCCACTACTGTTTTCAGATGATATTTGAAGGATCTCACTCCAGCTTCCCAGAGCCCTCCGAAATTCGGACTCCTAGGTGGCAAAAATTTCCATTTGATATTTTCATGACTCATATAATTACATAAACTCTTATTAGGATTTTTAACTAAGCTAAATAATCGTTGTAACTCATTATTACTCCCAACGAAATTAGTCGCATTATCTGAGTACAGAATACTGCTTTTTCCTCTACGCGAAAAAAATCTCTTTAATGTAGCTATAAATGCTTGAGAGCTCAACTCTGTCACAAGCTCCAAATGAATCGCTTTTGTGACGAAACATACAAAAATCGCGACATAAATTTTTTGAAAAGTACCTTTCCGTTGGTTCTTGTATTTAATTGTAAATGGACCGCAAAAGTCCACACCTGAAATGGCTAATGGAAAGTTTTGACTCACACGACTTTTGGGTTGATCACAAGTTATTGGTTTAGCTTTAAAGCACGACAAACACTCACGAACTACTTTTCTACAAATAGATCTGCCATTGATTGGCCAAAATCTTTGCCTTATAATAAACAATAATGTTTGCGGTCCAACATGTAAATTCTTAATATGATTACTAATAATTATCAATTGTGTTAATTTATGTTTTTCTGGTAACAATAATGGGAATTTTTTGTCAAAGCACAATTCACTATTGGACAAACGTCCACCTACTCTTAAGAGGCATTCTTTATCAATGAAGGGACATAAATTTCTTACCTTACTCTGGTTTGAAACTTCACCTGTAATTTCTAAATCTCTAATTTCCTTGCTGAACTCCCGCTTCTGCACTAAACTTACTAATTTCAGTTCAGCTCTTTTAAGTTCATCTGGAGACAAAGACCCACTTGATGTGTCATAAGTGCTCCGACAATTATCGATGAACCTATATACAAAACTTAATACACGAATGAGTTTACTATAGTTATTACTAACTTCCAGAAAATTATCAAGAAAATTACTATTATCACTAATAAAACAATTAAAGTCACTAGATGGTTTAAATTCATTAGAAAATTCATTTTCAATAACTCTGGATGGAATGTCTCTATTTGGATATTCATTGTTACACAAGAAATTTGGTTCTTCAAACCACAATCTGCATTGTGAAAGTTTATCAGGATCGAAACCTCTGGAGATAATGTCTGCAGGGTTCTCAGTTGATGGTACATATCTCCAACTGTCAATGTTAGTTAAGTCTTGAATCTGGGATACACGATTGGCAACGAAAGTCATAAGTAGAAATGACTCCTTACGTATCCAAGAAAGCACAATCATGCTATCACTCCATAAGTAGATGTTGGATATAGGCAAATCGAGAGCTATTATCACTTTTTTCACCAATTTGGCTAGAAGCAGTGAGGCACAGAGTTCTAGTCTTGGGATGGTTACTCTTTTCAAAGGTGATACACGACTTTAGCTAGCAATCAATTTGATAGTCGCTGCTTGACAATTTTTAACACACTTACAGTAAACAACAGCACCGTAAGCAACCTCTGACGCGTCGGCGAATCCATGAATTTCAATCATGTCAGCTCCCTCTGTAAGTATACATCTATCAAATTCCATGTTGTTAACACTCTTTAAAGCTTCGACAAACTTCTTCCACTTTTGGATTTGTTTCTCAGGTAGTTCTTCATGCCAGTCCAGTTTTATAGACCATAGCTGTTGCAAAAATATCTTTGCTTTTGACACTACTGGTCCAAGCAATCCAAGGGGGGCAATTGTGGATAAGACACAGCGCTTCGTGACTTTCGAGTCTTTTCTTTGTGATGCACTACAGGTAACTTTAAAATAAAGACTATCTTTCTTCGGACTCCAGGAAACTCCTAGCACTTGAGTTCCATCACAGTTAGTAAAATTATATATTTCTTCACCATCAGAAAATAACGCTGCGCAGTTGCTATGCCATTTATGGAGTTCCATGCCAGCATTTTCTAAAATACCAATTAACTGATTTTTAAGTTCCTTTGCAGTTGCTAAATTATCAGAGCCGGTCAACACATCATCGATATAAAAGTCATTTTCAATGACTGACAATTTTCTCCGTCATCAATAGCTATTTGCTTTAATGTACGCGTTGCTAGAAATTGTGCACACACCGTACCGTAAGTGACGGTATTCAACTCGTAGGTTTTGACAGGTCCTGTTTATCGACAAATTTTTACAATTGTTGCATTAATGCTAATTTTTTCTATTTCATTTTAACCTCTTATAACATATTTTAATTCTAAAAAAAGGGTCTTTTTTAAGAACTAACTATACACTAATATTTAATTTTACTCTTTTGTTGGTCAATATATGATTTTTGATTCAAAAATTTGTAACAAAACATTAAAAAATTAATAAAAAATCTTGCCAAATTATCAAGATATGTTAAAAAAATAACATTTTGAATAAAATATTTTATAATATCGACACTTTTCTTGTACCCACATCCTACACTTTATTAGAATAAAGAAACTAAAACCTGGAAATTTTAAGATTTTTACTGGAAAACCTGGAAATATCAGGGAAATTTGAAATCTGGTTTGAGTGGCCACCCTGTATAAAAAATTAGTCTAAAAATGCTTGAAATTCAGAGATTCCAGCCATTTCTTAACATTAAAATTCCTGATTTAATAGGTTGTTTAAGAAATTGTATATGGAGTGTTAAACATGTGTAGGTAATAATTTTCACTAATCTTATTTCAGAAGCCTCTCTCCCTAAGAGATCTAAAGTTGTGGCCAGGAGGAGAAGGACGCCGGATGGTCTTCCAGAAGCATCATCTTTGTTGCCTGGAGCAACAGATGATGGGTGAGCTTTTTTTTAAAAATGATTTATTTTCTTCCATCTTGATTATTGCATGAATCTGCTCTTGCCTTCTTCAAAACAATACAGGTTCCCAAAGCACCCTAGTGATTCCTTTTGTTTGTTTTCTTCCGAATAAGTCTATAACACTTTTTGTTATTGTCCCCTTGAGTATATAAAGCTATTTGTATTTGGCGAAGTATTTTCTTTTCTGGTGTCATTAAGCTCTATATTCAATCAATACTCATCCTAAAGCCACTTTTTTATTCACAACAAAATACCAACAAATCTAGTTGTTGCCCAAGGATAAGAGGCCTGGTAAAATGCCTAGCAGATTTTAATGCCCATTCCCACTTAACGATATAATATGACTTACGAACTACAATTATATTTTGTTTGAAAAACTAATTCATATTATTATTTCTTTTTTAATCTTTTCCACGGGTTATATGTTTTATTATGTAGTAACTAATGATGTCCACTTTCAGGGAGGATAGCGGCAGTACAAGTTGGATGTCCCCCAAAAAGATATCCACTCAAGGTCCTCCTGCCTATCTTCTTGCCAATCTGCTTTCAACTCCTGGTACACACCTTGCAAGCTCTCATAATGACACATCACCTGGAGCTATTCATTGCTTCCAAGATGAGCATGGTAATCTTTATTCATTTTCTACAGTTACGCAAAGTTTAAGAATAACTTTCAGATTTCAATATGGTGCCATC